CCAGGGTGGACTGAATTTGTGCTATCTGCACTTTTCTTTCTTGCTTTCTTTCTTTTTTTTTTTTTTTTTTGATTTTTCGAGACAGGGTCTCATTCTGTCACACAGGCTGGAGTGTGACACAATCTCAGCTCACTGCAACCTCTGCCTCAAGCTGTCCTACCTCAGCCTCTCAAGTAGCTGGGAATACAGGCATGTGCCACCACACCCAGCCATCTTACTTTTTAAGAGCTAGGATCTTGCTGTAGCCCAGGCTGGGATGCAGTGGTGTGATAATAGCTCACTGCAGCCTCAAACTGCCCTCAAGTGATCCTTCTGCCTCAGTAGAATGCACCACCATGCTCAGCTACTTTTTTTTATTTTTGTTGAGATTGGGGTCTTGCTGTTTTGCCCAGGCTGGTCTCAAACTCCTGGCCTCAAGCGATCCTCCTACCTCGGCCTCCCAAAGTTTTGGGATTACAGGCATGAACCACTCACCCAGACTGCATCTTTAGGTAAACTTCCCAGGACATGGAACATGATTGGTATCCTCTGTACACAGACTAATATGAGTTAAGATATGATTACCATTTTGCTTTCCTTCTTCCAAATGAAAATTCACTAAAAAATGCATTTTAAAACGTACATTGTTTTGGAAAATGCTCATGATAGTTGAAGTCCTGACTGTGTGAAAATGAGTTTAAAATACAGTCATGCACTGCATAATGACGTTTGGGTCAAGAACAGACCACACATATGATAGTGGTTCCATAAGATTATAATACCATGTTTTTACTGTACCTTTTCTGTTTAAATACCCAAATACCATTGTGCTGTACTTGTCTACTGTATTCAGTACAGTAACATGCTGTACAGGTTTGTAGCCTGGGATCAATGAGCTATATCATATAGCCTAGGAGTATAGTAAGCTATACCATGTAGGATTTTGTAAAATACATTCTATGATTCTCACACAATGATAAAATCACCTAATGACACATTTCTCAGAATGTATCCCCATCATTAAGCAACACATGACTATAATTGCTAATTGTTCTAATACAGATGAAGACATAATATTAAAGTGTTGAGATAACATGTTCTGCACAGTGAGAAATCAGTTTTCATAGGGTCTGGGCTTTCTTACATACAGAGTTTTACATGCATGGAATTCCAGTAGCTTTTATATTTTAGAGGAGATTCTAGAACTTTAAAGATTAGAAATCATCATATTTTTATAAAGTTTTATTTGAAAAAAAAAAAAACAACTCCTTTAAGAAGAGCAAGTATTGGCCAAGTAAGGTGTCTCACACCTGTAATACCAATACTTTGGAAGGCTTAGGTGGGTGGATCACTTGAGCCCAGGAGTTGGAAACCAGCCTGGGCAACATGGCAAAACTGCATCTCTACAAAACAATATAAAAATTAGCTGGGCATGTTGGTGCATGCGTGTAGTCCCAACTACTAGGAGACCGAGGTGGGAGGATCACTTGAGCCTGGGATGTCAAGGCTGCAGTGAGGCAAGATAGCACCACTGTACTCCAGCCTGGGCAACAAAACGAGACCCTGTCTCAAAAAAAAGAAAAGAAGAGGAACAAGTATTTCTTCTAGAATGTTTCAGTTGCATAAGGGGAAAATTCTGCTTATTTAATCTTGTCCCCCAGGAAACCATTGATAGCATTTTGGCACGTCGTCCAAGTTATCTGTCCATTTACCTTTATATGTACATTTGTATGTGTATTTTTTAACAATGATTTGAACCTATGACCTAGTTTTAATTTGGTTTTGTTCTGCTTGTTGTTTCTGTGAGATGGTATTCCAAATTCCTTAACTTTTTAAAACCTTATTGAATAAAGGTAAAATTAACTTAATTGAAAGAGAAGAATTATAGGTAAATTGAAGAACTGTACTTACTGAATGTCAATGTAGAAAAGTATTGGTACCCTTTTTACTGTTCATGTCTAGATGTTGATTTTTTTTTGAGATGGAGTTTCACTCTTGTTACCCAGGCTGGAGTGCAATGGCGCGATCTCGGCTCACTGCAACCTCTGCCTCCTGGGTTCAGGCAATTCTCCTGCCTCAGCCTCCTGAGTAGCTGGGATTACAGGCATGCGCCACTGTGCCCAGCTAATTTTTTTGTATTTTTAGTAGAGACGGCGTTTCACCATGTTGACCAGGATGGTCTCGATCTCTCGACCTCGTGATCCACCCGCCTCGGCCTCCCAAAGTGCTGGGATTACAGACGTGAGCCACCATGCGTGGCCTTTTTTTTTTTTTTTTTTTGAGACGGAGTTCCGCTCTTGTTACCCAGGCTGGAGTGCAATGGCGCGATCTCGGCTCACCGCAACCTCCGCCTCCTAGGTTCAGGCAATTCTCTTGTCTCAGCCTCCTGAGTAGCTGGGATAGCAGGCGCGCGCCACCATGCCCAGCTAATTTTTTTTTTTTTTTTTTTTGTATATTTAGTAGAGACGGGGTTTCACCATGTTGACCAGGATGGTCTCGATCTCTTGATCTCGTGATCCACCTGCCTCGGCCTCCCAAAGTGCTGGGATTACAGGCGTGAGCCACCGCGCCCGGCATAGATGTTGATTCTTTTAGCCATGCAGTGGTGTACAGGTATTTCAGATGTTTTGCTTTATGCTGTCCAGTATAGTCACACTTGAAGTTTGACTAGTCTAAATTGAGATGTGTCGTAAGTGTAAAATACACACTGGATTTCAAAGACTTTGTACAAAAGAAACAATGTGAAGTATCTCGTGAATAATCGTATGTTGATTACATGTTAAAATCATAATATTTTTGATCTACTGAATTAGATAAATTATTACATTTAGTTTGTTTCCTTTTTCTTTTCTTTTTTTAAATTTGGCTTCTAGAAAACTTTATAGGTGACATTTATATTTATGACCTATTGTTGGACAGTGCCGGTCTAGATGAATCTATATGTCTATATATTTATATTTGAGAAACATCACTATCTTCCCAACAGAAAAGAATAACTTTCAACCGTAGCCTCTGATTTTATTTTCTTAACATTTCAAATGCTGTTTTTCAACATCATCTTTTGATTCTTTTTTTTGTTTCCAGTACAGTGGTACTTTACCTCCCCCTTTGATACCAGTAAGTCTCCCAGGAATTTAAATAGGCCTCCGTGAAAGCAATACTTGAGCCTCATTTATATGTTCAAGTTAGATCATTGTTCCTAATAATGGCTTTAAGTGCTTAGATAGATCAGCACTTCGTGTCTTGAATTGCTTGTCATTTCTTTATAAAGATGTTTCAAGTAATTGCTCCATATGATCCCTTCTTTCATTATTTTCTGGCAAAAAGTAACATAATCCTTTATTAGTTTGTTGGAAGTCAGAGAAAAAATATCTTTTTTATTAGTGAAAACAAAATGTATTTCCAGGTACTGAGAATAAAGAACAAAATTAGTCATGAGCGATAGTCCTGCGAAAGTTAATTTTTAAAATATATCATGAATGCACTGTCAATCTGCCAGTGGCTTTAACCTCTATTTTATTTTCCCATTATACTTGGGTCCAGGTTGTCATCACCCACCATGAGAAAACCTATGTAATTCCTAGAGAGAGAAAAGTTGCACTGTTAGACTTAATAGTGTGGTAGTCATGGAAGCATCAGTTATCTTCATCAAGGCAATTCAGATTTGATTATTGTAGAACTGTGTTGAATACCAAACCAGTGGAGTAGTAGCTGGAGCTAAATCAAGGGATTGTCATTTTTGTGAGATGATTAGGGCTGGCTTGGAAGAGATATGAAAGGGTTGAGCTGTGTAAATATTCTCTTTTCAGCAGAAAAAGAAAAGGTCCATCATGGCCATTAAATGCGGCTTGTTAGCTTGATGAATTTCAAACTATTTAACCTTAGCAATTATATCCCCCCTAACTCCCCCGTGCCTGCATGCAAGTGTATCAGTGCCTTGGAATTATGTCTCCAAGGATGGATATCTAAGCATATTGGTAATTTTCTATTAAGATAATATGCAGCTTTTCCATGTCCAGTTAGGTATCTCAAAGGAAGTGCATGCCTTGGTTCAGAAACCTACTTTTTAACTTTAATTATATGCCCAGGTAGATATTAGAACACATTTATTTATAATGTTTTAAAAACTTTTTATGGCAAATATATGTAATTTAACATTTTAGAGATTATGGCATTTATTTAAATTATGATGTAAACATGGTTAGTTTTTATAAAGCAGAAATATGTTTCTTTAATTTTTAGTTGCCTGTGAGAGACTTGATACATTTAAATACTAAATATGTTTAAATAATAGCAACACATTTAAACAGACACTCTGGACCTAATGATTCAAGGACATTTCTGTGATGTTTGTAAATAATGTTGCATCCTAGAAAGGGCAGTGTTTTTGCTGCTTTTATGAAAATGTGCATCAGTCAATTTGCTTTTGTATTGCATTGGTTATCCTGGTAATATATCTACTACCTGGCATATTTTGGGCACTTATTAAACTCATAAATAAGGATAGATGACAGAAATTGCTAACTTTAAAAGACTTGCTGAATTCTGAAGTAACTCATTTGGAAGAAGAAAGTCTCAGTGTGCCATCTAGTGGACATATTTAGCATTCTGTTCATAAAAAACAAATGATACGCTCTTCCTCCGAAATGCAGTTAGCTTGACACCTTGTGTCTCTGGGTCCCTTGGCATAGTTTCTGCTTGTGTTACATCTCATATAGTTTTTAGCTTTTGTTATCATTTTGTTCATATTTTAGGAAAGTTATATTTGAAAGTTTTATTTTGAAGCCATCAGAAATCTAATGATAAATAAATCTGTTAACTATGAAAGAGGAAAAAGTATTTTTTGTGTTTAATCAGAACTAAGGAATAATTTAATAAAAGCACAACCCAAGCACACTAATTATTAAACTTTATTATTATACATATTCTTTTCTGAAGGAATATTAAAACGATCATTTCTGTCCTCTTATATGTTAATGGTAGTTTAACTAGCTTTTTAAAAATATATTCTTTTTTTTTAGAGAAATCCAAGACCAGTGACTTATCAGTTCCATCCAAATTTAGATTACTACAAAGCACGAGGAGCCGACCTCATGAATAAAAGCCGGTAAGTCCCCTTTCTCTGATGATAGTTACAAATCACCTAGGTAGTCTCCGAGATCATCAAGAAATTTCACACATTGCTGAAAACAGTTTTCTAGATTTTAGCATATCAATGGCTAATGTACATGAGGAATCTTTGTTAAATAAACATTTATTTAACAAGTTATTTTAAAGGCATAAGAAAATGCTACATATCGGTGTCAATGGTAAGATGAAAAATAAATATAAGAGTACTTATTTACTTGTTACAATTTGAAGTTAGGCAACTTCATTTTTCTAACATGAATATACTTGAATAAATTGTGCCTACTTGTATAATCTCTTTCTAGATTTTTGCTGTTGATTGAAAAGAGGCAGTTTTATAATATATGTTTAAATTATTTCAGTAACAAAATTAAAAATGTGTTTCCCAGCTGTCTTTAGAACTACACAATAAGCTTATAAATGCATCTTGTGTGTACATTTGTGATTTCATACATAGAAATTTTAAGGGTCACTGTAGGAATGAAAAACATTAAAATCCTACTTTTTAAAGAAATTAACATTGGCATAAAGGGTTGATGAACAGTTTTGTTCTTTTATAAGACCATATTGAGATGTCTCAGGAGTTAACTTGTCATACCAGAATCATTTCAAATTAGAATGTAATTTCAAAGTTTACTCTGGAAGACTAAAATGTTAGTAATGATAAATGCTGCCAAGTTGTCCGAATTTTCTTCCTCAAGCATTTTGCCTGTGTGTTAGCTTTTCTTCAGTAGAATTCCAACAGCCTAAATATACATTTATGGAATACATATACACAATGTGTTCTGCTGTTACTGGAGCGTTAAAAATAAGTTATAATTCCTGCTGCATAGGAACTCATAGTCTAAGGGATGAGAAGAAGTTTACAACAAAATGGCTATATTTAAACTTGAAATTTGAACCTTGTCTTAGTATAATGTTGTTATAACCTCCTGCCTATCTTCACCTCCCCATTCACTCTATCTCATCATTATGAACTGAAGTTATATAATTCATTTGTGTGTGTATTTATAAACTGTCTCCTCACTTCTCCACTAAAATCTAAGCCCCTGAGGGCAAGCATTTTGTCTTATTCACCACCTCATGGCACCTAGGACAATGTCTGGTATAGGGAAGGCACTCAACACATATTTGTTATATGAATTTTTTGAAATATTTTCAACACCTTTTTCTCCACCACAGGAAATGTATTGCACCCATTCTTTTCTCTCCTTCGTGATTTTTTCTCCACCACTGGAAATGTATTGCACCCATTCTTTTCTCTCCTTCGTGATTTTCTTCTCTTTAGCCTTTTCTCCCTACATTTTTCTTCTGCAAAATGTTGGTTTTGTTTTATATATTTCCTTTTAAGATTCATGTGCAAAGTATCTCTTGATAATTGCAAGGAAGACTTTTCGTCATCCTTTTGCAATCACAAAACTTAAAATTGAAGCTGAACTAAATAAAATGTAATATGTGAGGCATAAGATGTTACAACTCAGTGAGCAAGGAAATAGTTCATAGATGATGCTGGGAAAATTGGCAAATATTTAAAAGTCATCAACCACACACAAAAATAAATTCCAAAGTGCACTGAAACAAGCAAACATAAAAATAAAAATGCAAGTGCCTATCTGACCAATAGTTACTTGAAGACTTTTAAATCTTATTTTAAAGTTTTAAATTAACAAATAATTGTGTGAAGACTTTTTAACCTTAAGAGTAATGGAGAAAATCACAAAAGAACAACTAATGGATTTTACTATACAACACATATTTTAAAGTAAATCAAAAATTAGGAAAATATTTGTAGTGGATGTAACTGACAAAGTATAATATCTTTAATGTATGAAGAACTTAGGCAGTTCAGTGAGAAACGTAAGATCCTATCTCAGTGGCCATTCTATCTCTTGCCATGTTCTGCTGAATCCTTCTCTTCTTCCTCCAAATATTGGAACAGCCCAAATCCATGCTGCTTTTCTTCTCTGTACTCATTCTTTTAAGGATTTCAACTCAGTTCATGGCCTTACAGACCATCATCTGTGGCTGAAGAGTCCTTAATTTGTGTCTTCAGTTTTACCCATCCCTTGCTACTTACTAAATATTTTCTCTTGGATATTCCATATGCATCTTAAATTTAGTATTTTCAAACAGAACTGTTGATTCTACCTGCACACTCACATGCCTTTTATTTCCACAGTATTTCCCACAATAAATACCAAACTTGCTTCTCTTTGACTTCAACCTTTTTCCTTTCTTGGCCTCAATCTGGAATGAGTGTAACAGCTTCTTCTTCTAGTAAATCATCAAACCAAATTGGTAGTCTTGGGAACCCCCCACCATAAAGACGAAGGGTAGGCAAAGATTTCTTTTACAGAAAACAAAAAGCACTAGAAAAGATAGATAAATTGAACTTAAAATTAAGGTTTTTTTGTTCATCAAAATATGCCATTAAGAAAAAGAACAGGTAGGTCACATACTTGGGAATAATATTTTTAATACATATATCCCAAATATGTAAAGAATTTGTATATGTTAGGAAAAATACAACATAGGCAAAATACTTGAACAGACACTTCATGAAAGAAGATATAAAAATTATCAATATGCTATGAAAAGATGTTTAACATTAGTCATCAGGAAAATGCAAATTAAACCACATGAGATAACATTTCACACCAACTGTAACGGATAAAATAAAATAAAAAATTGACAGTAGCAAATGTTGGCAAGGATATGGAGCAGTTAGAACCCTCATATATTCCTGATGTGAGTAGAAAAAGGTATAATTACTTTGTAAACTACTTTGGTAATTTCTTATGAAGTTAAACATATATCTAGCCTATAATATAGCAGTTGAATTTCTAAGTGTTTATCCTCTTGGCCTAAGAGGGAAATAAAAATACATATCCAAAAGCAGCAACAAACAACATCAAAACAGAATGTTCACAGCAGCCTCACTCATGATACCCCAAATCTCCGTCAATAAGAGACCAGATAAACAAACTGTGGTACATTCAAATAAAGGAATACTACTCAGCTATAAAGGAAGGAACTAGAGTTGTCCCTGGGGAAATTGGTTCCAGGACCACTTGCATATACCCAAATCCATGCATACTCAAGTCCCATAGTAAGCTGTCTCATATAGGAACCTGCATATATGAAAAGTCAGCCTTCTGTATACATGAATTTCACATTCCTCTCTCTGCATTTGGTTGAAAAAAATCCGCATGTAAGTGCACCCATGCAGTTCAAACCTGTGTTGTTCAAGGGTTAAGTATATTGATGTATGCAATAACATATATGCATCTCATAAACATGCCGAACAAAAAAATCCTAGTCAGAAAAGAGTACATATTGTATAGTTCTACATATATGAAGCTCAAGAACAGGCAGCTAGCATGTGGTGATATAAATCAGAAAGTAGCTACCTCAGGATTAGGGTTTGGAATTGACTCTAAAGGAACATGAGGGAACCTGGGAGTAATAGAAATGTTCATTCCAGGTATATTATTTGGGATGGTGGTTATACAGGTATACACAAGTGTCAAAATTCATCAGACTGAACATTTAAATCTGTATATTATATGTAAATTATACCTAAGTTTTGTTTTTAAAAAAAGAAAAATATGTTTTTACTCTGACTAGATAGGAGGTAGTATTACTATTTTACCTAAATTGGTTAAGAATTAACAACTCTCTTTAATATAAAAGAAAGCACTTTAGATATAGATGATTTTATAGCACAAATGCTTAGTTATTTGAACAAAAAAAATCATAAAATTGCATTTATATAGCCATCAGTGTCCTTTGAAATTCTGATCAACAAATTACTAATACTGATAACCATGAACTCCTTGGCTTCATGGCGTGGAGAACATTATTAGCATATTATTTCTTTACTATAATTTAGCAATAAAACATCCAAAAAAAATACAGTCATTATGTAAGTAAATAGAATAAAGCCTTTTAAAAATCTTACTGACCATATAAAATGGAGTTGTCTAGGAGGATATTATAATGCGTTTTAGGTTTCAAAACAATACGCATTTATTCAATCATTAAACTAAATATTTATCAAATACTATACATAGTGCCGGACACTGTGCTAGGCCCTGGGAATATGGTGATTCTAAGACCCACACCCTGACATCACGGATGGTTAGACTTATGTGAGATACCACGCTTAGGTATATGGGTTACTTCACAACTGAAGCTAACAAGTATTCATACATTTCACAAATACTTTAGTTTCTTCTTAGTGCCAGGTATTGAGAAAACAGCAGTGTAAAAGATGTGGTGCCTGTTCTCACAGAACTTAGATTGTAGTATAAGATTATAGTCATTGAAAGAATTTTTGTACACCCTGGGAAACTGTACTTTTCCAGGACATATGCTTAGGCCAGACCCTGAGAGGGGCACTCCTAAGCTGAGGCAGATCCTGATCCCTGGTAGAGATGGGGAATTATTAGCCACTAGGCTCTCTTGGGATAAGAATAGTTGCCCTTACTCCATAGACACATGGATTCCTGCTGAAGAATGTGGATACATCTTAAATGCCCAGGAAACCCTCCTTATTAGAATCTTCTTTCCCTAGATCCTGGCTTCCTCTTCTATGTCAGGCAGGGTTCCTGACTAGCAGCCTTCTACAGAGGACCCTCCCAGATTATAATTTTGGAATCTTTCATCATCAATATCAATTATTTAAGTTCTGTCACGGGCAGAGGAAAGCTGGGGTAGTTAGCACAGAAAATGTTATTTCTTTTTTTTTTTTAGATGGAGTTTCACTGTTGTTACCCAGGCTGGAGTGCAATGGCGCCATCTTGGCTCACCGCAACCTCCACCTCCTGGGCTCAGGCAATTCTCCTGCCTCAGCCTCCTGAGTAGCTGGGATTACAGGCACGTGCCACCAGGCCCAGCTAATTTTTTTTGTATTTTTAGTAGAGACGGAGTTTCACCATGGTGACCAGGATGGTCTCGATCTCTCAACCTCGTGATCCA